GGCAAAAATAATTAAATGAAAAAATCATTAATAAATAACCAAAGGAACAAAGTGGTATCGAAGAATCTACATTTATTACTGACGCTCCACACACACAGGAAAGGCGATGGTAATTTCTGGAGATTTGATTGGTCAGTAGGTGGTGAGCAGGTTGTGTTCACAGCACAAGTTACCATGGTGAACTCCTGCTTCGCAGTACAGACTTCTGCCAAGGACCCGACTCAATTCATCTTCCCGTGATCAGATAAAACCTTCCCGCTGAGAGTGGGTGCGCTTTCTTTTTATCATGACTGTAAATGCACCAGAGTATAAACATCCTGCCAACCTTTTAATTATCTAAGGATTAGCTGCTGTCTCCTTTTACCAGCCGGCCTCAGACTGAGCAACAATCCCAAAAACATTTTTACCACAAACGTCTGGTTTTATGTCACTGAATCCATTTAGTAACTTTTGGTCATTGGAAGAGTCCGAGTGGACTGCTTGTGGATTATAAATAAAGCCACCTAAAGCAGCACAGGTCAGCTGGCCACAGGAGATTAACCCCTGGGTTTTAGGGCACCGACGGAAGCAGCGTCCCTCTGCACTGAGCCGGAGGGAGGACCTGAAAGAGCTATGGAAGAACTGCATGTACTGGGCATGTATGTAAGGGGGCACACTGGGGTGTTTAAATAGGACAAACAGCTTTACATCACCGGATAATTAGATAAACACACAAACACACTCAGGCAGCTCCCCGCTTGTTAGCAGCGGCTAACGTTAACCTGCTAACAGCCCGTTGATTCTAAACTGTCCTTGAAGCTAACGGAGCTAACTCCGGCAGCAAGGATCTGTCTGTTTGTAACCCGGGACGGGCTGCTCGCCCCCGCCTGTGGGGACTGACCTGCCACCCCTCACGGAGCTCCGTAAGCCTTCATCTCCGGTCAGTCTGAGCAGGACGGAGCAGCTCCTCCACGCCATATTGGATCCCGGTGACCCCGACAGGTCGGCCGAAGGGCCGCCTAGCAGTTGTTCATTTCCGGGTCACCAAGGAGCTCCGGCACCGTCAGCGACGCCCGCAGGACAGAGGCGGATACTGCACACAATTGAATCAACAAAATAAAATCCTCAACACGAAGCACAACATCCGCCTGTGACCTTCAAGGTAAAACGCTGCCAAAGTCAATACAACGAAATTTGATATTTATTTTCAGAGTGAAACACAAAAAATGCAAATGAGTGTCAGAGGAATAATACAAAAGTGTTCTGGTACTAATTTTTAAGAACAAGGTATGAAGATGAAGATATGAGAAAGTGTGGTTGAGAAGAAGAGAAATGGCGATCACTGAGGAGCAGTGTACTTTAAGAGTGTTGATGGAGAAGTATAGAGAAGGTCAGAAGGTGATGAACTGTGGATCTTTGTGGTCTTTGTGGATCTACAGAAAGTATGTGATGAGAGTATGGTATAGGTGGATGAGACTGTAGAAGAGAAGAAGAATGAACGTAAATAGAAGCAATGAGCAGGAGAAAGGTGGAAAGGTGAAGAGAAGTATGGAAGATAGATACCCGGGAGTCAACCACCCAAAGGAAGGGTCAGTGCACAGGAGAGGTGGTAGAAGTAGAGGTTGCAGGCAGGGTGGAGTGAAAGGAGACAAATGTCTGATATGACCGATACTTACGACAGAAAAATAGCACCAAGAGTGAAAGAGAAGGTTCAAAAGATGATAGTGAGACCTGCTGTGATGCATGGTTTGGAGATGGATGTTGAAGGTGGAGCTGCCAGAAGGAAAACAGAAAAACCTCTGAGGTGATCCATGAATACAGTGGAAGACATGGGGTTGGTGTGACAGAGGAGGGTGCTGGGATAGGTGGGTGGGTGAGATGGAAGCAGATGGTGAACGCTGATAATAATATAATATAATAAAATATAATATAATATAATATAATATAATTAGGGGGCATTTATTTTGAAAGCGCTGAGTGGCGGAAGCGGGGCAGGTTTCCGGTGCTTGTGTTCACTGTGGAGTGGCTCGCCTTGGTTCGGTTCGGTTCGGTCCGCGACAGAGGAGCAGCTGCAGCGTGGGCAGTGCAGAACCAGCGTGTGACCGCGGAGGAACCATGGCGGCCCCTGCTCTCTCCGGCCGGGCTGGCTCGTCGGGTAGCCTCGGGAACAGCCCCACCATGGCCGCCGGGAGGCTGCCGCACGGCGGCGGGCCCGAGCTGGACTTCAGGTCGGCGGCCCGCATGGAGGATCTGAACCGGCTCATCCAGGAGTTCAGCAAGCACGACCAGCGGGAGTACGACGACCAGCGGGCTCTGGAGATCCACACGGCCAAGGACTTCATCTTCTCCATGCTGGGTGAGGACACGCACGCACGCACACACACGCACACACCAGGCTGCGGTAAACATCCTCGGACTCCACCTGATTATTTCAGCTGGTGTGAGCGCGGAGCTGCAGGGGTGATCCAGATGTGCAGAGGCTCAGGTGATGCACATCTGCTCCACCTGGACCGCATTAGGGATCGCATGCATCCTCTTAGCCTCTCTTCTTCTCGTTTCTTGGTTTAAAACGAACATAAAAGTGTAGCTGAGCTTCTCCAGGTGCTGCACAAATACGGAAATACTAAACACAGACGACACTAACACCACCCTCAGTGCAAGGTGAAGCCCACTACAATCCCAGCCTCATCCACACCTTCAAATATATAAAAAAAAAAACAAATCTTCACTAATATTAAACTTCCAGCTGTGAGGACTCCGACCAGCAGGTGTTTTTTCCGCACATAGCGCATCAGTGAGGAACAAATGTGCTCAAATATATTTAAAATTGTCAGATTAAATTCTGCCAAATTAGTTCTCCGAATTTCTTTTACAGCGAGAAATAAATCATCCGTTTTTTCCCCAAACATCACCCCGTGGGGCAAATGAAAAGATTCCAGTTCCTCTGACGTCCAGCAGAGGCAGCAGTGAGTCAGTCCCCATAGACTCCCATGTTAAAACTGTACAGCAGAAATAAACATGATTGCAGCCTGATACACAAACTGTTTGTCTCTGTGGATAATGTCCTCCTTCGTAACACCTGTACAGTAGAAGAAAGTTTTTAGGGTTCACCTGGTTAAACTGTAATAAGGCTTAAAGTTTATATAATTAGGGGCGTGGCCTCTTTGATTGATGGGTGGATGATGACACAGATGGCTGTAGCTGCTAGCTGACTGCTCAGCTTCACCTGAACTGGACCTCTGGACCGTGTTTGTGCTGTTGGAGCCTTTTGGAACATTTTCAATGATGTCACGTGACCAATAACATGGCTGCTGTGAGGTTACTGTAGTAACAGCTCATCCACGAAGGCGGAGCTCCGGTCCTGCTAGGGGAAATTCTTGGATTTTAGCATGTAGGATTTCTGCGGCACAACCAGGAAACTGATTTGTTGTGTGCACATGTGTGGAAATTATTTTATTTTATTCCCAATATTGGTGCAGGATTTGGAAAAATTAACTGTGTGAGGGGACGACGCATCTGTTGACCTGATTTCAGTGCATGTGTACAAGCTGGCGCGCCGCGCTGAGCTGATGTCAGATGATTTGCGTCAGCGTCCTCAGTCTCATTTTTCTGGCCTTCGTGCTTTGATTATCCTGCAGTTTGCTGTGTGTTTGCAGGTGGCTGAATAATTTAGTTGCGTTGCTTTGTGGTGCAGACGCACGACACTCCTTGTGTATGCGTGTTTAGTTCACATCACTCGTGCTAAATCTGACTCTCTTAGAGGAGCTCTTCAGCTTCTGCCGTGTTGAATATTGTCTCGATGGCCTGTATGAGGTCACTGCGGTCAGGTGCAGGGAGGAGCTGTGATTGGCTCATGCAGGTGCGTGCTCAGTGCTCATTTAAGGAGCTCTTGATTCTGATGGTGGAGCGTGCACTTTCTGTATCGCTCGATGATGTTCGTTAGAACATGGGCACGAAAATCCAGATTAAAATCCAATGAATCGCTCCGCACAGTGTTCGTTTTTGTTTATTTATTCAAGAGTTTGTTTACAAACAGTTGACAGAGTTTGAAAATAAAGAAAATTATTTTCATTAGATATTTCTGTATACTCTGTTTACTTTTTTTTATTAAATGATGATCTAATGTTTGACTTTGTTTCTCTGTAACATTTGAAGCGTTTGATCAGAAATAACATTTTAGTTTATTACGTTGACCTTTGAATTTATTTGAATTGCTCTACAGCACATTTGTTGTGTTTAGCATTTTGAAGATATGCCAAGATATAAATGGTAAATATGTCTTCACATTTCACTTAGGAGAAAAAATGAACCTCACACAGCTTTAATATCTGACATAAATCAGGAATTACAAGGTTATAATTAAAATTTTGAAGGCGGTGGGGCCCTAACCTTTCAAAATAAAAGGCCACAAATCTGCTGAGAGGACTCAGCTCATCATAACTGAACCTGAGAGGAAGTGCGGAGGATGGAGTGCAGGAATGCGAGTTTGATAATGACGCTGGAGCGCCTCCAAGATCTGGATGTAAAAAGACTCTCTCTCACACACACACACACACACACACACACACACACACACACGACAAACACAAAGACAGAATCACACACACAAACTGCAGAAATGTCCATCTGACAGAGCCGCACACTCACATTAGTGTTCATTTTCTCAGATGTACTGACAGTCTGCCAGCTCGCACACGGCGCCTCCTCACAGAAATAACAAGCGTTCCAAAATGTCCCGACAGGAAGCGGCGCTCCATCCTGTCTTCACAGCTCGCTCACTGTTTGCAGCTCACAGACAGACCAAAAGAAAAGCGATGAGGCGGTTTTATGCTCCAGATTTAATCAATCCAATCAATAAAAAAGGAAAATCAGTCAGGAATTATAAAGTGAGTGTGAGACGTTCATTCAAAGACAGTGTGTATTTGCAGGATCATCTCTGTACCGAGGTAACGAGCAGCCCCCGAGCTGAGTTCATCTGATTTATTTGAAACTGTTTCTGAGAGACGGACTGCGTGCGTCCAAACAACCGCAGCGCAGGAATGCAGCCGACAGCCAGGAAGTGTGTGCGCCTCTTCTTTAAACTCAGCAGAGCAGAAAACTCGTCCAGGCCGGCCCGGCCCGACCGATGGGGCTGAATGCAGTGACCCGTCGGGGCTCACGCGGTCCGCTTCCAAACACATCGAGCTTCAAAAATAGACCTGACATGAAAGGAACTGGAAAACAGGAGGGCCAAACTGGACCCGATCCAGACTGAGCTGGACACAAACGAAGCAGACTTCGTTGAAAGCTCACCTTAACGTCAGCCTCGTCTGTGACAGCAAAAACCAGACTGGACGAATCGGCAGAGCCGCCGGTCAACGTTAAAGAATTAAATTACAGCAGGGGGAAGCTTTTAAATCGATGTTAGTCGAACTTTATCCAGATACGAATGAGTTGCTTCTGACGTCCATCTATCTTGTAAGCAGACGTGCCCGGACCTGCCCTCCTCGGCCACGACCTGCAGCTCATCTGGAGGAACGTTGCGTCGTTCCGCCAATCAGTCAAGAGATTGGATCTCTGCAGTGCATCCTGGGGGTTCCTCGGGGTCTCCTCCCAGGTCCACATTCCTGAGGTCAGCCACAGCCATCCTGGTCAGATACTGAACCCGCTCAGCTGGCTGTAAGACGAGTATCTCGAGGCCTAAATCCTGACCCCCGGTTACACTTGTGTGCGTGGTGCTCGTTTTTACACGTAATCTTTATCTGATCCTTTTTGTCGTCCTCTGTTTCAGGAATGGTCCAGAAGTTGGACCAGAAGCTCCCCGTGGCCAACGAGTACCTCCTCCTGTCAGGAGGCGTTCGGGAGGGCGTGGTGGACATGGACCTGGACGAGCTGAGCGTCTACGCCCGCGGCACAGACTACGACATGGACTTCACCCTGCTGGTCCCTGCGCTCAAACTCCACGACCGCAACCAGCCGGTGACCCTGGACATGAGACACTCGGCGCTGGGCCACTCCTGGCTCAGCCTCCGCCTCTTCGACGAAGGAACCATCAACAAGTGGAAGGACTGCTGCACCATCGTCGACCACATCAACGGCACCACCAACTACTTCTTCTCCCCAACACTGGTGGCTGACTGGTTCTACCAGTCCATCTCCTTGGTGCTGCTGGAGGTGCAGAAGAAGCCGCAGAGAGGAATGCCAAGGGTGGAGAAGGTGGAGCGGAACGGCACCATCATCTCCGTCATCCTGGGCGTCGGGAGCAGCCGGATGCTCTACGACATCGTCCCCGTGGTGTCGTTTAAAGGGTGGCCAGCTGTCGCCCAGAGCTGGCTGATGGAGAATCACTTCTGGGATGGGAAGATCACCGAGGAGGAGGTGATCAGCGGCTTCTACCTCGTCCCCGCCTGCTCCCACAAAGGCCGCAAGGAGAACGAGTGGCGCCTGTCGTTCGCCCGCAGCGAGGTGCAGCTGAAGAAGTGCATCTCGTCCAGCCTGATGCAGGCGTACCAGGCCTGCAAAGCCATCATCATCAAGCTCTTGTCCCGCCCCAAAGCCATCAGCCCCTACCACCTCCGCAGCATCATGCTGTGGGCCTGCGACCGCCTCCCCGCCAACTACCTGGCGCAAGACGACTTCTCCGCCCACTTCCTCCTGGGCCTGATCGACGACCTGCAGCACTGCCTCGTCAACAAGATGTGCCCCAACTATTTCATCCCTCAGTGCAACATGCTGGAGCACCTGTCGGACGAGACGGCCATGCTGCACGCCCGCAAACTCTCCTCCGTGCGCTCCGACCCAGCCGAGCACCTGCGCACCACCATCGAGCACGCCAAGGCCGCCAACAGGCTGACGGTGGAACTGCAGTGGCGGGGCAGCACCAACAACCTGCCATCGCCGCAGTCCGACGCCGGCGGAGAGAACCAGCCCGACGACCGGCTGGCCAAGAAGCTTCAGCAGCTCGTCACGGAGAATCCGGGCAAATCCATCTCAGTCTTCATCAACCCGGACGACGTCACGCGGCCGCACTTCCGCATCGATGACAAGTTCTTCTGAGACTGACCTCCTCCTCCTCCTCCCTCTCAGCCTTTCTCCTCCTCGCCTTGTCCCCACCTCCTCTGAAACTTTGTTTTTTTAATTTTTTTATGTTTCTCTGCCACAGAGTGAAGTGAGGTGATCGTCTAGTCGTGTCTGCCACAATTTTTTTATTTTTTATTTTTCTATTCCCGTCCCCACCTCCTCCTCTTTCACTGTGTGCCCTGTGGTTTTTACCTGCTGAATGCCTTTTACAGACAGCTGCACAGCAGCAGGTTGTTTTACAAATGAAGGAAGAGATGGAAGTCCACCTTCGGCCGGCTCTGCTGCTCCAGTGTTCGTAGTTTGTAGTTCAATATAATTATCAGGGATCCTGGAAATGAGACGAGTCCACCAACTCCTGAAATCGTGACGTGTGTCTCACGCCGGACTCGCTGTCGTTTAAATTTGGCGCTGAAGCTCTGACGGCAGAAACGATGTGAAAGCGAGGAGCCCGGCTAAAATCAGCTGCTTTGATACGAATGTGGGAATTTCAGTGCTGGCGTGGCCAAAGCCTCAGTTTTTATTTCATTTTACTTTTCTGTGATATAGTGAAGAACAATCAAAGCATAAATAAATAAATCCTATTTCTGCAAAGACTCAGCATTTCCACTGTTCGCCCGTGCTCTTCAGGCCTTCTGCAGTTCTCATGTTGGACACCAGCCGAATTCTGATCGATGGAGATCTGATCCTGAGCTTTTCAGTTTGTGGACTCCAGCTGTTCCACCTGCTCCTTAAAGACCAGACAAACTAAAACTCCTCAAAGACGAATTTCTCCCAACGATTTAGGAAGAATTCGGTGACAATCTGTTTGTTTTCCAGCACGATGAAGCTCCAAGTTACACGCCTCAGGTGATTACTGAGGCTCAGAGATCATCACATTCATATTTGGATCCGTGCATGGATCATTGATGAGGCAGGACTGCATTCCAGCAGAGAACTGCAGGAGTCATGAAGGTCGGTCTAAATGCTGACCAGTGCAGCTCGTTCCTCGCGATGACACGAGTACGAGGTTTTCATAATTATGAGCAAGTTACTCAAAATATCTAATGACTCGTTTTCCAAACCAAACAGCAAGTTTTCGCAGCAGCTCGGCGTCGAGCATTTCAGAGCTCGCTGATCGGACGGCGGACGCTTTCAGGAGCTGCGGACAGCCTGAAGTCTCACATCGAGGAGCAAAAGCAGCAGAGCTCGGACGAAGGTGGATTTTGTCCCTCTGAGGAATGTCTTAGTCCCACCGCGGGACGACGATGATGGTACTAACGTCTTAGAAACTAACTGTAAACAGGAACAAAGTGACTGAACTCTGACGTGTGTGGGCAGAAGGAGGAACAGACTGATGACGACTGATGGTTTGTCGACTACTTTTCGTCTGATTTTGCACAGAATGTAAAAAAAACAAACACCGCCGTGTTTCCTCTCGATGGCGGACGCCGTGTCCTCCTCACTGTCGAATGACGGTATATCATATCAGTTGATGGTGACACTTTACCGACGCGTGGTCGCAGTGCACGCTGTAGATGTTCTCATTAACCGGCAGAGCTGCAGTGATTGTGATTGGTCCAAAGACGCAGCTTCCCCTGATGGAGTCGGCTGAGCTGCCGGTTGGTGTTGCATCTCGTTCGCGCTCGCAGGCTCACGTTCTGACAGACGCCCTGGATCCCGTGTAGTTTGCAATGTTTTCCCAGTTTTCCTCATTTCAGTTTGTTCTGATGAGCTTGAGCGTAGTCCAGAATCCTTCCAGACACTCCAGGGTCCAGATCCAGACGGATGGCGTAGCTCGTGGTCCTGATGGGGGCGTGGTGGGTTTTGGGCCTGTGCGTGTGAGCGAGGCGTAACAGTTTGGGACTTGAAGCTCGCAGCAGCGTTTCTGTTTACTGCTCAGGTTAATCTGCTGCACGGCGACCGCAGTCAGTAACGTGTCACTTCCGGCTCGATATCACCGGCCTCGCTCGCCACTTCCTCTTTCTCCATCTTGTTTGTTTTGATCACTATTTAATAAGCTTCACTGTAACTTAGTTTATTATTTCTAACCTGACCGATGTTTACTCCGCAGCTGCTTCTTAGTGTTTGGATGTCGAAGGTTCGACTCCCCTTCAGCGCCGCCAGCTCGCCACGTGATCGTCAGCCTTTCAGGTCGCTCACAAAACATTGGGACCAAATCCCCATTGGGACTTTTTACACTCCAACTGTAGGTGGAGGTTTGGTGTGATGGAGCTCCAGGCTGGTTTCTGGCACAGTTACTGTGCAGTAACCGAACGCTGTTTGGCTCCAGAAACCACCGATTATGTGGCGAGCCTCAGTTTGGAGCTCAGGCAGCTTGGCTGTGGGATGTGTCTAATGAGATGGTGCTGTGATGTCATTACCACCACCTCTACAAGGGTTTTTTTGAGGGGCACAAATCATCACAGATTTAGCCACATGACCATGAGACACTGTGGTGTCGTGTTTATATACAAGGAAAAGAAAAATGTGCTTCATCTCAGCTTCAGCCTCAGTGAAACCTAAATATTGATTACCGAGTCAGAGCCTGTGCTCAGCTCTGATTGGACAGCTGAAGCGCGGCTGCAGTTACTGCAGTCAGCACTAATGCGAGCAGCTCACTACAGCTTAAAAACACTAAAGCAGATATTTTTGATCTCCTGACGTAAACGAGCATCGGCGACATCTGCCGCCTTCAGGATGCGACTGCGCGCCGGCGTGTTTGAGCCGCAGCTGGTTGTGCCGAAGGTGAGTCGTCCCAGGTTTGTTTGTTTTTTTTGTCAAAGTCTGAAACATTTCCAGGAAAATGCAAAAAACCAGAAAAAGAATCTGCAGACGTCTGCAGACAATGCGATCTCCATATCCTCATCCTCAAGTGCAATTAGTGAACACAGAACAAGTACACACTTATACAAACGCACATATACGTCATGTAGCATTAAGACACTGAAGTAAGTTAAAGCTGAACGGTACACTGCTCTGCCGACCCCACAGACCCGCACTGACACTCCCACTCAGAGGTTTTTCACACCATCAAAGTGCCGCACCACGCTCTCCTGCTCGGTGGAAATGTAATCAGTGTGTTCTTCTGAGCTCCGTGACTTTTGACCTTACTGCTTTCTCTATTTGTTGAGAACCTTTTGACTGTGAGTTTTTATTTTTCTGTACCTCGCTGCTCTGCTTTGTTATGACGATGGATTTCTTTATGCAACGTAGACGTGGGTGGGTGTATCCCTTCAGATGGCAGCTCCTCCCCATCTGTGAAGGCTCTTCGCTGGATTTCACTATAAAGTCTTTTAAGCTGAATTTCTCTCTACGTCCTCAGTGAGTCTTTCTCAAATTTACATCTAAAGTTCTCAATAAAATTAAACCTTAGTTTACATTTCATGAAAGGAAAAACAGTTAATGAAGTTCTGCATCAACTTCAGTTCTTAATAAGTTAACTGACATCTCGGTGTCATCAGCAAAGTCAATTAAACTGCAGAATATGAGCATCAAACCCTGTAAATCAGGCTGTCATCTGCACAGCGATCGATTCTGTTGAAGAGTGGCTGAGAAGAAAAACACTCCAGAAGTGAATCTGGGGCGGCGCCACTCAGATTACGATTGTCTGCAGTTTTAGGGAACAACAAGAAAATTCAAGATTTGGTCAACAAGGCCTCACGATTGAACCCTGGATTGTGCCACTTCAGTTGACTCATTAGCTCATGTGATTTGTTTTACAAAATTTGCATTGCACAGATTTATTTATCTCAATTATACTACAGTTAGAGACCAGAATAAAGACGGGAGGCCCCAGGATCAAACATCGAACCTGCTATTGGATTTGTGGTTGACATTTAAGTTAAACAGGGAGCTGTTTATTTATTAGTAAAGTTTGTTGGACCATAGAAGAAGAAGGAAATGTCTTTATCATCTGCGTAGTTCTCAGATTTGAGAGCCCAGAACTAATTCTTAGGCTACGTCCACACATAAACGGGTATTTTTGAAAGATTTTTCTATGCGTTTGCACCTTTCGTCCACATGTAAACGGCGTTTTTGGTCACTGAAAACGGAGATTTTTAAAAACTCCGGCCAGGGTGCAGATTTTAGAAAACTCAGTTTTTGCATTTATGCGTGGACGAGAAAAACGGAGAAAACGCAGCGTCAAAGGTGTGCGCCTTTTTTGGCGTCACACTGCGCGCCACGTTATTGTTACGGTGAAATGAATTTCTACAATACTGTTAATTCTACTCTCTGCAGTGTTTAAATGCTTACATATACACACAGTTACTGTCCCACAACACATACGACTCGGTTCTGCTTCTATGCCCCAGCTTTGTTTACTTTTTCCCACCGAGGCTTCTAGACTTCTGATTGGCCAACATTTCTACACGGTTAGGAATCTAGCGCCACCTGCTGCTTTGGCATGTTCATAGCAGCGTTTTCCTTCATTTCTGCCTTTATGTGTGGACGGGATTATTTTTTAAAACGAAAACGGAAAATCTCCGTTTTCAAAAATACCCGTGTACGTGTGGACGCAGCCTTAGCGTAAATTGAAAACACTAAAAGCTTTGCTGCATTCAAATAACTAAAGTTACGTAGAGGACAGATCATCATCTGCATAGAACTGAGTAAGAATCTGACATCTTATTGAATATCTGAAAGTCCATAATTTAATCCTGTCAACAGATATTAATGATATAGTTTTGATCTATTAATAAATAGATCAAATAGGCCGTATGATACTCTGAGAGGAGTACATCTGTAAATAACGGGCCCATAATCGAGCCTTGACGTACTCCACCTTAATCGACTTTGCTCCATGTATTTAAACACCAACACTGTGGGACGAGAGCAGGTTCATGATCTCGCGTCGTACTGCAGAATTGGGCTCAGGAACAGGTTGAATCGAACCCTGGGGAACATCCCTGAGTAAGACCTTCAGAAAGAAGCCTCAGGTCTGCACATTATGTCACATTTATTACACACAGCATGTGTGTGTGATCGGTTTCCAGTACTGTCAGGTCACAACATGAACATCTGCTATTGTGTGCCCAATTTTTTCCCATGTATGGATAAAAAAACCTTCCTGCTGACCAAAGTTTAAAATGTTGAGCGTAGAAATGGTGATTTAGTATAATCATGCTCTTTAATTCTTCTATATAAAGGTGATAATTTCTGGATACAGAATAAGGAGTCTTGTTTGCAGATGATGGCACACATAAGGTAACAAGTGCGCTACATTAAAGATGCTCAATCTTCTGAGAATATGACGTCATGCACGTGGTTGGTGCCGCAGGCCGTTAAAATAATGTATTTATGTTAAAATGACATCATAAGTCACATGACCTGTGTGACACTTTAGACTCAGACACATTTAAAAACCATCCAGACTAGAGGTTTCAATCGGCCACTCAAACACTTCGTCTAATTAACCCTCAGGCAGGGTGAGCTGGTGGATTCCTTCACTACATCCTTTAAGCAGCTTCCTCTCTCGACCACCGGGGGGAGCAGTGAGAGGAAGCAGCTCGCTCTGTGTGAGCGGGTATGATGGAGGGAGCTGTCATGTGAACGGAGGCTGTTTGTGCACACAGTGACTTTATCTCCTGTAATGTGGAACTACTGTTGTAAATAGCACTTGATAAAATAACTCCTGTCTGACTCTTCGTCTGCGTCCGCTTCATTCAGCCGCCCGGCGCCACACAGCTCATCTCAAACGCCTCATTTTGCTTCCTCCTAACCTTTCTCTTCTCTCCTGCTTCCTGGTGCCTCAGCACCTGTCTCCTCCACCTGCTCTCCTCTCTCCATCTCGCCTCCTGCTGGGTTTGGATCGCGCTCAGCTCTTTCTGGCCGCCGTCAGAGCGCTCGCCGTTCCAAGAGGAAACTATCCAAATATAACCACAGCATGTAAACACGCTGCAGGCTTTACTGCTGATGCTCAGCCTCGCTAAAATCCCAGATTTACAGAAAACACGAGTTATTTACTGATGATCAGCGACGGGGGAACGCCTGAATTAGACAAACGGATGTCAAAACGCCTACAAAATAAAACTTTATTTAAAATCAGTTAAAAACAGCTTTAAGCCCAGAAACTGTCCTGCAGTTTATCAGCGGAGAGCTAACCCTCTGTGGACCTGATGGGGAACAATGATGATTCCAGGATGTTCACTTTTTACAGCACTGCAGTCACTTTACACACTCTTACTTTGACTTGACATCACCTGTGATTTACTTCCAGGTGGTCCCGCCCTAACCTCCTATGTCATTAACTCCAACTTTGGTCCAACAGATTTGTTGAGCTGTGCAGGTAAGCTTTAGGCAATTTAAACTGCCTCCATGTATGCAGCAATGCTAAATATACTCCTGATAATAAGAAGGAAAAGCAACCCAAACAGCTCATTACACCTGAGCGGCGCACCTTTACCTCGCACAGCTGAATCTGTGGGTGGGCGTTGGTGCTGGTCTATAAATAACCCCTTCTTAACAACAATGTTTTCATAGCTCACCTGTTTAACCCCTTAGCAGTCCTACAAATTTACAATTAGTCCCCTAAACCATCCAATGTACCGTGGGCGGTACGTCCGACTGCTAACAGGTTAAATGGCATTATTAGGGGTGTGGTCTCTTTGACTGACAGGTGGATGGTGACACAGGAGTATCCAAGTGGTCTGAGCTCCAGCTTTGGTGAAATTCTCTGATTATATTTGGATGTCACGGAGCTCTGATTGGCAGGTATGGTACTGTGTGATGCTAACACAGTCTGGGGTTGCTAGTTGGCATTAGCTGATAACATAGCCTTCCATCCTCCGGTCCAAACATGGTCACATGTACTTCAGAAACCAGTGAGTCAAGCTATAGTAGCTAACGCCATCGTTCTTATACAGTCTGTCTGCTAACAGTAACAGCTGTTCGAGGAGACATGTTTACATGCCCGATTACTCCAAACCAAATGCCACCGCAGTACCACCAGTGACCCAGGAGGTGAGCCTCTCAGAGCCTGAACCACGGCGTTGATAACGTTAGGTAAGAAAGTCCAAAAAAAGCCCACTCTGAGTGGATTTCTGTCTGCAGGGGAGAAGTGCTGCTTTTAATGTGACTCATCTTTCACCTTCTCTTCAACAGTAATTGCAGCTGAAACAACCTGATGTGTCTCACTGAACTGGCTGCTACCTGTAAATCCATCTTCTTTGTGAAAACCGAGCATGTTCCCTCCTTCTGATGGGAACTAAAGTAGTTTGGGAACACGTACGACAACAAAGGTGTCAGGCAGCCTTTATGTGCTGCTGTGATGTTAACTCCAGGCCGTCTTTGAGCTCCATTTGTAGCCTGAGTTTATTCCTGTTTAATCAGCGGTGCTGTTAACAGCAGCAGAGTGACCCAGCAGCAGCTCCTCTCTGCAGCGTGTCATGGATGTAGAACAGTTTAACAGTATGCATGGATTCTCAGGCAGGTTCTGAACTGTGGCGTTCTCTGATTAATGAGCAGATTTGTGAAGCTTTATTTGTGTTTAGCTGCTTCCTAAAACTGGGTTTCTACCTCAGAGTCACGTCCTGTCCTTTGGGGCTAGCATGCTGTTCCTGCTTCATGTCACTGCTGGGTTATGGTGATGTTATTTATATGCACGATGCTTACACAGCATCTATGACAGAGTACTGAGATTCAGCAGCTACCCACAGACTCGGATGTAGTCTGTGGGTAGATGCATCTACATCTGAGTTCCTGAGCTTCATCAATCACAGAACTGTGGCCTTCAGTCCACAGACTCATCTCTTTCCAATTCAGTGCAGCTTTATTGATATAGCACCAAATCACAACAACAGTCCTCTTCATATTCTAAAACAGTGGTTCCCAAACTTTTCTTGCTGGGCCCCCCTTTGTTTTACAAGAAAAATGTTCGCGCCCCCGCGTGCACACATCCTCCAACCACACACGCCCATATTTTGCCCCATTGCGGTTTATTTCACACCTCAAACATTTAGTAAACAATTCAATCAATCAATCAAAATGTATTTATATAGCACATTTTTAAAGACCAAAGTGCTTTCCAGTAAAATCATGATACAGATAAAAATCACAATATAAAATATAAATTACAAATATATAAAATATAAGATAATTACATAATCTAAATACAGAGCCAGATGTAAATTACCCTAATTCACCTTGAATGGCAGGTTAAACAAATACGTTTTTAAACGTGATTTAAAAGACTGAATGGAATCTGATGCGCGAATATGAAGAGGAAGAGTATCCCATAACCTGGGTGCAGCAACGGCAAAGGCTCCTCTGGTCTTCAGCCGAGACCAGGTTGCACTAAGAGCAGTTGGCCCGATGATCTCAGTGCTCTCTGAGGGCTACAGACAGAGGAGATCAGCTAGGTAGTCAGGTGCCATATTGTTTAGAATTTTATAAGTAAACAATAAAATTTTAAAATCAATTTGGTATTTAATAGGAAGCCAGTGTAAATTTGCCAGAACAGGGGTGATAGACTCAAACTTTCTAGAGCCGGTCAAGAGACGTGCTGCGGCATTTTGGACCAGCTGCAGACGCTGAAGAAGAGAAGATTGGAGGCCCAAGTAAAGAGAATTACAATAATCCAGTCTTGAAGTGATGAAAGCATGAATGAGTTTCTCCAGCTCTTTGTGAGGTATGTAAGGTTTAGCCTTAGAAATTAGGCGTAGTTGGTGAAAGCTGGTTTTTACCACAGTAGAAACCTGTTTATCTAGTTTGAAGGAGCTATCCATGAAAACTCCAAGATTCCTAGCAGCATCAGTGAGGTGGTTCGCAACAGGCCCGAATGTGCCAGTCAGTTGTCCCAGAGGCATATTTCTATCAAAAACAATAATTTCTGTCTTCTTTTCATTTAAAGTAAGAAAGGTACGTGATAACCAGTCTTTGACATCGCTCAGACAATCAAACAGAAGATGTAGTGAAGATGAAACATCCCCAGTCAGGTGGAGGTAGATTTGAATATCATCAGCATAGCAGTGAAAAGAGACATTATGATTTTCAAAAATGGA